AAAAAAAAAAAAAAAAACTCACCTCTAGCCCCCCACGCCTTCGCAATCTGCAACCCCGCCACCGCCACCCCACCCGTGCCCTGCACCAACACGACCTTCCGGCTCACATCCTCGCCCTTCTCCACCGCCGCCCGCAAGCGACCCTGCACGCTCATCCACGCCGTGACGCTGGCGATCGGCAACGTGGCGCCCTCAGCATCCCGCATGTACCGGGGCGCCCGGACGAGCGCCTGCTCCGGGAAGACGCGGTGCGTCGCCAGCACGCCGGGGAGCGGGTGGCCCATGCCCCGGGCGAGCATCTGCGGCGTGACCTGGCCCGTGAGGTGATCCGGCAGGAAGGTGGAGAGGACGCGGTCGCCGGCGCGCCAGCGCGAGACCGACGCGCCGACCTGCGTCACGACGCCGCACATGTCCGAGCAGGGCACCGTGGCGGGCGTCTCCTGCGTGACGGATTTGTGGTGGTTGTATTCGCCCTTCGTTACTGCTCGTCGGATTGCACGGTTAGTTCCAATGGTATAGCTCCGGAGGGAATCGGTTTTGTGGGAATCACTCACCCTCAATGTCGCGGTAATTGAGCGAGACCGCATGGATCTCGACGAGGACTTCATCGGGGCCTGGCGTGGGCTGCGGGGCGGTGGTTTGGCGCAGGCTCGCCAGGCCCGTTAGGGGGGTGGTCCATTGCTGGATGCTCATTTTGAGTTGCAGGGGATTTTGATTACGCTTCTCTAGAAGAAAAAGCAGACTGTCTGAAGACGGAAGTGAAGAAAACCTGAAGAGTAGATGTCAAGAAATAAGAAGGAAAAGAAGGTAACAGAAACAGTTACGTTATCCTAGAAGACCTATAAGTCGATGTCATAAGGCCCCACTGTCCGTCCACAAATTATTAATCAACGGTTACGGTTACTGTTCCTGCTCGGTGGAGCTTATTTTGGGGCCCGGATTGGGGTACGGTACAGAGACCCTGCATGTCGGCTTTTTTGCTCGGATTGAATTCGTCAGTGCCGTTCTGTGGGTCGCTCTTCCACCTCCTACGATGTGCTAACCCTGAACTGTGGGCGATGGTGGGATGTGCATAACTTCATCATGGTCATTATGTTCAGCTAAACTAAAAATCTTCGAGGTGACAGAATGAAATAATCCAAAAGGTTTTCACAAGAACCACCGAAACTCGACCGCGGCCGGTCCATCCCTCAGCCGTTCGGTGGGCACATCCTGCGCCCGCATCTTGACGCCCTCGCGGGCGTCGCGGCGGCGATTGTCCACCCACATGAAGATGCCCAGCGCCGCCGCCAGGACGGCGCCCGTCGCCCCGAACGCCGCGATGGTGACCAGCGCCGGCATGTACTTGGGCTTGTCCTGGGCGCGGAAGACGTTGCTGGCGACCAGCCCCATCAGGTTGGCCAGGGGCACGCCGATGCTGGTGAGCAGGACGCGGCGGCCCTCGTGGGCGACGTTGTTGTTGTACCAGGTGCTGAGCAGGACGCTGGGGGCGGAGGTGCCCCAGGTCATCATGAAGGTGGCGAAGTAGGCCACGTGGATCTGGGCCTCGACGTCGGTGATGGAGGCGTAGATCATGAAGCCCGTGAAGGTGAGCAGGAACCCCAGCACGATGAAGGGGGAGCGCAGGCGGGCGGCGTCGGACGCGAAGGCCAGCACGAGCAGCATCGCGGCGCCCGTCACGTTCGGGGCCACCGTGTAGAGGTTGGTCTTCACGGTGGAGTAACCGAGGCGCTGGATGATCTGCGGCATGAAGAGGGAGACACCCTGCAGGGGGACGCCCAGGCAGATTTCGATGCCGAGGAAGGCGTAGGTTGACGGGTGCCGGAAGATCTGCAGCGCGTCGCGGAGATTGAAGGCTTCGTTCACGACGGCGGACGAGTCGACCTGGATGCGGTGATAGGCCAGTGCTTTCTCGTCGGGACTCAGGAACGTGGCTTCGCTGGCGGAGCGTGGGAGGTACCAGAATGCGAAGCAGGAGAAGAGGACCGTCACGCTGCCTTCGATGATGAAGAGGTACCGCCAGTTCGGGATGGTCGAGTTCTTGATCTGGAAGACGCCGAACGCGATGAGCCCCGAGAAGGCGTTCGCAATGTTCGACGCGGCGTAGAAGATGGCGAGGCGGCGGGCGAGCTCGCCGCGGCGGTAGAAGGTTGTCAGGTAGTAGATGACCAGAGGGAAGAAAGCCGCTTCGGACATTCCCAGGAACCAGCGCAGCGTGAACATGCCGCCGAAGTTTCTGGCTGCGGAGGAGAGCAGCGTAAACGAGCCGAAGCTGAACATGAGGACGGGCAGAACCCGGGCTGGGCTAAAGCGCTTGCCCAGCATGGCAAAGGGCGGCGCGAAGATGACATAAGGTACATAAAAGATGGAGAGCAGCAAGTTGTACTGATTCGGCTTGAAGTGCAGGTCTATAGCCATTAGCACAGGTGTCTCCTATCGGAGTCAAAGAATGGTCTCCTACCAGTACTCATGCCATCCGTTTCGGCGTTACTGAGGTTGCCTTTGTCCAACGCATTGAAAAGATCTGGACCATACATCAGTGGGCGTAGCCTATGGCTAGAGCTGATTGACCTACACATCAAAGCCAATACTGGCAGTAAACGCAGGTCAAATTTCCGACACAGCTGCCGCTCTGCCTGGTGATCTGTGACCCGGACGACATCCTCGATGATCCCCGTCTCAGTGGTGTAGTGGCTCGCCTTCACAGGCTCATCATGAACCGAGCTCGTCTTGGTGTCATGTGGACTCAAGCTGGAGCTGGATGCCATTATACTTCAGCCAGACGGGAGTGTGAGAATGAGGCAGTCACAAAACGTGCAAGAATGAGGGATTCGAGGAGTGAGAAGAAGGGAGGCGGGATTAGACGAGGTATGAGCCAGGATGGTAGAGACGCAAGGGGATCAATTTCTTAAGGAAACGGCGTCATCGACCCTTGGTTTATACCAGAACCTTAGCATAGTATGTAACCCAGGGCTTATCAGCTGCCAAGGCAGACGAGGGATAAGATGTCACATTGTAAATGAACCAAGCTCGATCTTCCCAGGTTTTTCTCCGCATATTGGCTGGCCGGATGCAGTCAGGTTGCATTGTCGCGGCGGGCTTATCAGTTGCTAACTTATCAGTCAGTAGGCACAACCCTTGTCGATCTGCGATAACGGGCGTAGTCGGACCCCTTTATCAAGATCCCTGCAATTTGTTTTCGTGGCAAATCAATCGCTACTTAAGATTGACTAATTTGCAAGTCAAATTGATCGGAAACCCGCAATCACGATAAATTAAATCCAAGACTATGGCACACAAGATAGATTCAGTGGGGCTGTCGAAATCTAAGGTTGCAACGGGCCCCGTGTGACTCCCCCGCAAAGATCAGCGCCGACGTCACTACAAATCTCTTATAAGTACGTAGTATGGATCGGTGATTGGGGCCAGTGGCAATGAGAATTTATAATGGTCTACATAGTCTAGTCGAGAATTGATCTAGTACAGAACAATGCTGTCCAAGCTGGAAAACCCCGTCGCGACGCCCCCCTCATTGACATCTCTCGCCTTGGTCCTCATCAGCCACCCACCTTGCTCATTCTGCACGATGTTACCGTTGGCTTGATCCCACAGAATGGTTCCATAGACACCAAGCTCTCCAATAACATGCCCACTGAGTACCTCCCCATCACTACGGAGCGCCACGTTCTTGGCCTCGGCAGGTGGATGAATAAGCTCCATTAGGATCCACCGCTTCCATTCGGTCTCGGGAATCGACCGCAGAAATTCAGGAATAGCATCCTTGTACACATTGTTTCCGCCGCCCTCACGCTGTGGCTTCAAGACGTGGTTCATGGCAGTTTCGAGGTTCAGAGCAAGCTTCTGCCCGCGGCCAGTGGACGAAAGGTCATATTGCGGAGCAAAAGTCGCTCTGACTCTCGAGATCGTGGCATCATCAGTGCCGGAAAGAAAATCGGCCAGGTGATCTGGTCCTTCCTGTTCGGCCAGAACCTGTTGGACGATCTTGCATCCAGCGAGTTGGTTGAGCACGGTGGGGCATTTGATAGCGGCAGAGCGCTCGAGGTGTGTCCGTGCTTGCCAATCACGCTCAGACTTGTAGTCGGTGGGCGCGTAGAAGCAACGGAGGTAGGCAGTCGTCACTTCGAACTGGGTACCACTGGAGTGCGGGGGCTGGTAGATAAGTGGCCTCGAGGGGTTCGAGTCGTGGATAAATGTGTGGTCGAGGATCTCGGAGCTAAGGACACGGAAGACAGGGATTTTGTGAGCCTTGGTCAATTCCCGGGAAAGAGCCAATTGATCGAAGATATTCCTCTCGTTCTCCTGGACGAGGAAGAGGATACAGGTGGGAAGAGCTGGGGTGGACTTGGAGGTTCCGTAGGCTACGTGGGCTGCAGCCAGACCTGCAGCCAAGGTCTCCACGGCAGGATTCTCGGGAGGTTGATTATTGTCCAGCAAAGGATGCGACGGGTAGGCGATTGGGTGGCCTGGTGGGGAATTGAGGAGCTCAGTGTGTAGAGATGTCACCAGAGATGACAAGCCGCCAAAGGACGAGGAAATTGTGTTGAACTCGACCTGTTTCAGGCTGGGAGAGCTGGCATCGGACGGGGTATGGGCCATGTAATCAGAACGGTAGAGGCCGAGCGATAAGTTTTGAGTATAGCCCTCTTCCTTGACTGCGAGATGGACTTTCCAGAGGTTTGAGATGAAATCGTCGACGTCAATCAGACTACATGCAGGTATATTTAGTTGGGGTCATTTCGAATGCCAAAACACGGCCATCTTCGCATGTACGCAGAAATATGGGGTGCTATTCTCATTCAAAGAGAAGCAGAAGCAGGCTCTTACTCTTCCATGATCTTCCCAATCCAGTCTTCGTCACATGTAATCGCAGCGTAGAGTTGATTGTATACGGTCTGAAGAGCTCTTGCTTCTTCAAAACAAGCCTTGGGGAAAAGACTAGGGAACAGGGTCACTGGTGCATTGGTTGCCAGCACTCCTTGAGGGTCATTCTCCTTCGCGACGAAGGTCGGCGAGGGCCGGACGACGAGGCCATTTTGCGTGGCCCAGTCCTTGATTGTTTTCACCAGGAACTCCTTCTGTGCGGAATCCAAAGCTGGAGGATAGCTGGAGTAGATTGATTCTGTCATGGTCAAGAAGTGATATAGTGAGAAAGCATATAAGGAAGGAAACAAGCAGTCAATTGATCTTCAACTGCTGTTTGAATGGAGGATCTGGAGGATCTTCCTCCGCGGGCAGAGGCACTGAGGGGCAATCTGAGGGGCATTATTAAGCAATGTGGGGATATCTCTACCGCCTTCTACACCGCTAAGCGCGGAAGGCAATAACCGACAGCAATATCACCCGTACCTGGAGTTCAGCGACCACCCGTTGGCTGCGGCATGCTTGATCACCAGCCAGGAGATAAAGGCATTTTGAAGACGATAAATTCAACGCAAGAACGGTTTCCATCCAGCGACGGGGCTGCCTTAGCTTTACGATATCTAGTACAATCGTTTGACGACGATAGACTGCATAAGATCTAGTGATCGACTGCACTATGGTCCAGTCCACTAAATGTGATGTACTATACAGTACTTCAAGACCGCCTACCATTCAGCCGGGTGATTGAATCTCAACTGGAATCAAATTAAGGTTTGCGGTGGCAAGATGTGCCTGGGCGATATCGGCAAATCACAACCCCATGTTAGATGGGTCTAGTGCTTATCGGCTCACCGCCCGGCATTGCACGTGAGGATCCTCGGCCCGGTAGTGATTTTCGCGCCTTTCAGGGACAAATCCCCAAACATTTCTTTTCCCTCTCCGAGGCCCTTTTTCTTACCTGCTTGTCGAGCATCTCCGTGGTTCAAGATGTCCACCTCCCTTCCTGGCAACCGGGACCTCCCATCATCCCAGTATGATCTATCCACATACTGGGGTCGCGTGCGCCATGCGGCTGATCTTTCCGACCCGCGGTGAGTGAGGGTTGTCCCCGACAAGCGGTCTATAACTGACGAGTGAAGGATGATGTTCGTCTCTTCTGCTGGACTGGACAAGGCCAAACAGTTGGTTTCTGCCTACAAGCAGAACCATGTCCCTGCCATGACGTCCGAATTATGGCACGCTAAGAAGGTGGTTGACTCGACATTGCACCCTGGTAGCTACACCTCTTCGCCATTTCCATTCCTTCGCAGTAGTATAACTGACCGATCCAGACACCGGCGAGCCGGTCTTCCTCCCCTTCCGCATGTCCAGCTATGTCCTGTCCAACTTGGTCGTCACTGCGGGTATGCTTACGCCCGGTCTTCAGGTGCGTTCACCCTCCGTCCTCTAATGCTAGCTCACCCCCGCCTTCTGACTCATCGGGACGCGATTGTCTAGACCACCGGAACCCTTCTCTGGCAAATCGCCAACCAGTCCCTCAATGTTGCCATCAACAACGCCAATGCCAACAAATCGACTCCGCTTTCTTATTCCCAGATGGCCAAATCCTACCTCATGGCCGTTTCCGCATCCTGCTCCGTCGCTCTCGGTCTCAACGCCCTCGTTCCCCGTCTCAAGGGCGTCTCCCCTAACACCAAGCTCCTTCTTGGTCGTCTGGTCCCATTCGCAGCTGTTTCCAGTGCCAGTGCGCTGAACGTCTTCCTCATGAGAGGCGAGGAGATTCGCCAGGGTATCGATGTGTACCCTGTCTTGTCTGAGGCCGAAAAGAAGAAGCGGGAGGAGACCGGCGAGCCTGTGCAGAGCCTGGGTAAGAGTAAGAAGGCCGCAACGATTGCGGTCGGAGAGACGGCTATCAGTCGGGTGCTGAACGCCACTCCAATCATGGTTGTGCCGCCATTGGTGCTGGTTAAGTTGGAGAAGACCGCGTGGCTGCAGGCGAGGCCAAAGATGGTGCTGCCGATCAATCTGGCATTGATCCTGGGTACCTCTTTGTTCGCATTGCCACTGGCGCTGGGTGCATTCCCTCAGCGACAGTCGATCAGTGCCAAGAACCTGGAAGAGGAGTTCTGGGGCCAGGGAGGCCAGGATGGGATGGTGGAGTTCAACCGCGGAATGTAAATCTGATCCGCGGGGGTGAAAATTGCATATAGATTAGATTTAGAGATATACTGTACCGTACACAGTGTTATGAGCATGATACCATTGCATACCTGCCTCTGAATTCAACCATCCATTAATTACATCTGGAGACGAGACTGATACTCTAAAACTACCTAGTACAAGTAAAAAGTCATGGAAGACCGAAAGGATGGATTGTGGAGGAACAAACAAACAAACAGTGCAAACTGACTCTTGCCGCCGCCTGGCAGTGTCTCCGAGATCGTCACATGCGAGAGGCGGGCACTGACTGACTGACTGCACTGTAACTCCGCTTTTTCCCCCCCCCTTTCCTTTTTGCCCCCTGAGTTTCTTCCGCGTCCCGCGCATGATTGATTCTATTCCCTATTCCCAACGCTTGTTTACTCGTTCCTTGTCAATCTAGCCTCCTCTAGACTTCTCAATTGATCGTCGCAGTTTTGCACTATTCTTTCACAAGTCTCTTCCCCTGGTGGTCAGGGCTTCAGGGGATATGCCCCCTCTCCGCCAACTTCATTGAAGCTAAGCAGCGGTCGGTCGCCGCCGTGCTTCTCTCATCTGCCGGTTGTCCACCCTCGGCGACCACGACGACTTCACGCTCAACCTCGCACCACCTCGCTATTGTGCCTGCGTCATCCTCGATCATTCGACTTTGAAAATGAGCATCTCCTTGCCCTACCGATCCGCCGACGATGCAGGCAATGGCCTCCCCCGACTTTCACCCGCCCCTTCCCTACTACACCATCGCACGCCCAGCAGTTCTCGCACATCTCTCCGCCAACCGTCGTTAGCCAATGTTCCAGCCACCGCCGCGTTATTCCCTAAACCTCGCCGATGCAAATCACAATACCCCCGGGACTCCTCAGAGCGGCATGTCGAGTACATTCTCGTGGCCTCCTTCCATATCGATCGCGGTCCGATCATGGAGCATCAGTATCCGACCGCGATCAGTGGAGATGAGAGCATGTTAGCGGAACTCATGCTGCCTGATCAAACACATGTCCGAAGCCAGGATTGGACGATATTCTTCCTGCATAAGGACACAAGCGCGGATGCCGATGATGATGCCTCGGTATCTAGCAAGAAGCAGAAAAAGAAGAAGAAGGGGAAGCGCAGGGTTGGAGATGAAGCGCAGTCGAGTGAAGGGGACAGTCGGGAGGATGACGAATCATTGGACGAGGAAGATAGCAGTGATGATGAGGAGGAAGGAGGTGAAGGCCCTCCTCTGATGTATGTGCTCAATCTGGTCAACACGAAACAAGACAACACAGTGAAGCGGTATGTGAACGCACTTTTTCGATCCCTTTCGTGGATAAGGTCCGGATATTGAACAACCACAGCGGCGCAGTCGTGAAGGCTATGGCAATCTGTACGCGACATTCTTTCCTTCATATCTACAAAGTGGGTCGCCCTCAGTCAAGAATAGGTTACAGTTGCGCTGACACCCAACTCACAGCCATTATTGTTGCTAGCCCTGGAGGACTACTTCAAAAATCCATACCCCGAAACCCTCGCCACTTTATACAATGCTGTCAACAGCATGGACTTGTCGTTGATGCCGAGACTATCACTTCTGGAAAGGCAGATCCTGCAGGCAAGCAATTGCAAAGATATGTTCATCGAGAAATTCGAACAAATGATACACCAACGGTCCTTAGAAGACGGTGCCCCGCCAGATGACGAGGACGATCCGCCGTCGCCGAAACATCAGGCTCCCCTCCAATATACTCTTCCGCGCGACACCCACGAATTTGAATCTAGGGTTGTTTATAACGAGATCCCTATTCCGGTCAAGGTTCCCACGGTCATTTGGCCGGAGACTGTGGGCGACTTCTCTCTGATCAAGCTTATCCAGATCTTCTCCGCTCCACATAACACTTCACCTCAAGCCTTCCCCGTCCATCCGCACCTGACTACTAGTGGGCCTTTTACGCATCCTATCATTGTCCTCGTCAATGCAATGCTTACTCAAAAGAGAGTTATATTCTTGGGTCATAATCGACCGTCCGGTGAAGTCGCAGAAGCCGTGCTTGCCGCGTGTGCGATTGCGTCGGGCGGTGTATTGCGCGGTTTTACGCGACACGCCTTCCCTTACACGGATTTGACAAAAATCGATGACCTGTTGAAGGTACCTGGGTTTATCGCCGGCGTCACAAATCCCACCTTCGCCAACCATCCTGAGTGGTGGGATCTACTTTGCGATCTCCCGACTGGTCGAATGAAGATCAGTAGCTATATCGAGCCTGCACCAGTGACGGAAGGACTACAATACTTCCAGCAGCAGGCTTCGTTACATCATTACCCGTCTAGCTCGAATACCGATCCCAGCGGGGATAATGTCTTCATGGAAGAGATCCAGCGAAGCATCACAAACCGTTACGGTGAGAACGCGATCCGGGCCAAATGGAGGGCGTACATCATGAAATTCACCCAAGTGGCCGCCGCTTTCGAGGAAATGGTCTACGGCGCATCGAATCTCTTCATCATTGGACCCAACGAAGAGCTTTCGCCAGAGAGCCCGAGCGGCGTTCAGGCTGACCCGCTGGATCCGACCACCCTCCGCGGCCATGGCTATGTCTGGCCCGATGAGGGCGCCAAGCAAAGGGAGCTGCTCGCCTCAGTCTCGCGCATCGAAGGATGGCGGACCACACGATCCTACTATTCGTTCATCCAGGACATCGCCGCCATGTACTATCCGGCCCGACCTATTCTGAAACCCGACCTACACCATCACCACAGCCGACTCCGCGCCTTGCGACTCTCTGCTGCCGACTCCGGCGCCATCTACATCGCATTCGCGCACGCGGTCAAGGACTACGCGGGCATCTGCCAGCTCTTGACCATCACCCCGGAGAACCAAGCCGGACTCTTCTACCTCAGCATGGGGCTCTTCCACCCCTACCCACCGGTTCGCGAGGCGACAGTTGACCTGCTCGAGCGGATTGCTGCCCACCCTGCGGGGCGACATTTCTGGGCGCAGCTCAACCGGTTTGCGAAATTGGCGTTCTTCCGCATTAAACGCGACCGCGACGCCTCAGCACAGAGCCCCGCGGGGTTAGGCACCGGGTCCTTTGGCCCGCGGAGCTTAGTAGGTGTTGCGATGGGAGACACTGCATGAGTTTTGTAGACCTTTCGCAGCCTCACATGTAACCTCACAGGTTATGCCGGTGGGCCTTGCCCGTACTTATGTCACGACTATCCTATTTCCATCTTGTATATGTAGCTATGTTCAATTAGCTTATTCCTCTCTCCCTCCCAGTCTTGTTACCTGGGTTGGAGTATCCAATCAAAGATCCCAAATTCTTGAAATTCTGCAGTAGGACCATGAAAACCTTCCTTTCAAATCAGATTTTCCTCATCTGAATCATGTTACTCATTACTCGACCCGAGGCCCAAGACCTCAGCCCAACCACCACATCGCCCCCCCGCTCTCCCCCCTCTTCGCAATTTAACCCCACTTTAATTCTTAAGCATAGCAGGCTTCGACTCCAACACCTCCTCCAACCACTTATACGACACCGGCAAACTATGCGGATACCCCATGTGCGGGAGCCCGGGGAAGAACCTATTTGCTCCCGGAATAACCATATCAGCCCCACCAAATCAAGAAACAAGCGGCTCACACTCGTGCGATAAGCCCCAGGTGGTAGGGTTGGGGGGGGGAGGGGGATACGCACCGTCCTTCCTTGGGAGAGCCGTGATTAAAGAGGACAAGACAGTCTTCGATGGGGGTGACACCGTCGTCGACGCCCTATGTACACCTCCCCGCGGGGGGCGGGGATTAGAGTTAGTGGGGGGGGTTTTGCCTGGGGCGCATCTTCCGAGGGTGGGATTTGGAACATGGGAACCAGGGGGGAAGGAACTGCAGGGCACGCACATTCAACAAAAGAAGTCTGGTGCTGGGCTGGTCGACGATGCCGGTCTCGACGAGCGAGAATTTCTTCTGGGCGTTGGCGCGGAAGTCGGCGACGTCGGTGTAGCCGTACTTCTTGGCCCAGGCGGGGGTTAATCTATTCCATTCCAATTCGTTAGTCTTGCAGTCACTCGGAGGGGGAGGGAATCCCACTCACAGGAAAGGATACTCATGATCATCGACGCGGGTCAACCACTCCTGATCCATGAAGTAATGGCAGCCGGGACCGTGGGCGATGCAACCGCGCAGGCGGTCGCGGTGGGTGTGCGCGGCGCGGATGGCGTAGAAGCCGCCGGCACTGAGGCCCCAGGCGGCGACGCGCGCGGGGTCCAGCTCCGGCCGGCCGGCGATGTAGTCCAGCACGGTGGTCCAGAGGCGGTCCGGGGCGGCGGGGTCGCTGGGGTCGGCGGGCGAGTCGGCGGTGCCGGGGATCTCGGCGATGACGACGGCCCACCCGCGGTTGAGGATCTCGTGGGTGCGCTGGCTGTTGTCGGGCCGGTAGCCGTCCAGCCCGGTCATCAGCAGGATGACGGGGACGGGGCTGGCGGCCGAGGCGTGCTCGGGCGTGCGCACGAAGAGCGGGACGGTGGGCGCGTCGCCGCCGGCTCGCCGGGTGTGCGGGATGATCACCTCCTCGATCTTGGGGCTCCAGAAGGAGGCCGCCTGCAGGTACACGCGCTTCTGGCGGGCGAAGGCTTCCTTCTTGATGTCGTCCTTGCTGGGGTCGACGTAGGGGAAGCGCGAGATCCGGTAGACCACCGCGGCGCGGCGGAGGAGGTCCGAGGCCAATTGGGTGTTGCTGCTGTTCAGCGCCTCGCTGGCTTGCTTCTCGAGGGATTCGGCGATGGGGAAGAAGGCCTGCGTGTAGGCGTCTTCGTAGGCGTCGTTGATGTTTTCCTGGGTGGGCTTGGCTGAGCAGGCAGATTTGGTACACAGGAAGAAAGCCTCCTACCTTGATCAACGTCTCGAAGATGGGTGCGAAGTCCTCGATCGATCCGTCATGGAACGGGTAAACTGACTTCTCACACTGCCGAACGCTTCGTCTTAGCTCTTGATCCTCACCACACAGCATTCATCTTGGCCTTACCGCAAACTTCCACTTAGTCTCCCAAAGGGCCTTGATGGACCCCTTGTGCGGGTAGACCGTGTTGAACTTCTCGCCCATCAGCCATGGAGCCATTTTTGCGTTCTGTTTTGTGATGTGCTTGTGAATCGAAACAGAAGAAAAAAAGTGGTTGAGATCGAGATATCTCTCGGATAGAGTCTAGCAGTCGAGGGGGCTTTTAAGGCAGACAGTAAACCTGAAAGAGCCGTATGCATGGCCACGACAGCAAAGTTAACGCACAGGAGATATGCAACTCTTGATGCCTGAAGTTAGGAATGCGGAGGCGAAAAAAAAAAGAAAAAGGTGGTCGCGAATCGAAAGCAGGGGATACATTAGTGTTGGGAGTTTGGATTGGAGAGCATTGGACTCTTGTAGCCCGAGAGTTCTTAATGTATGAATGCTGAGGAATTTGAGGTGAGATTGTTTTGCTATGCGGCATTTTCTAGCGCCAGGGGATATCGATCAAGAGCGATTTCATTTTGGGATGTCATCATTGGACGCAGAAGTCATATCCAGAGAGCCTTTGTTGTGAGGTGGATGGATGAGATGGTGGGAGGAGAGAGACAGCAGCGAGCCCCTCCAAGTCCTTACCGCTCACAGCAGTCCGTAAATGCCCATGCCGCTTGCTGAAGCTTTGGAGCAGCGAAAAGACAGCAGGCATCCTACATCGCCTACCCCGCTATCAGGACAATGAACTCATTCTGTGGGAGATCACACCACAAGGTGCATTCTCTTGGTTCGGGAGCAGTGGCTGGTGCCATGTTGCATCTCCCGTGCATAATTGAGGCAGCTAGCAGCCAGCAGGACGGAGTATATCTTGATTCATGGCTACGGAGAGGCTGCGTGCCTCTTCCGCCGTATCAGAGCCTTTCATGAACCCCACCTTGGCCGGTAGATGGGCTTTGGGTTCTTTGTACAACGCATTCCAATATTTTGGCGTCAAGAATGAGAATGGTTGGAGAGTTATCGATGCCGAGGCGAGGCAAGGGGGAGGGGAGAGAGCACAGCGGCGGGGTAGTTGGAGGTTTTGATTGTTGTTGGCTCTCGGCGCCTGAGGCAGACAAGATGGCCAAGGTTCGATGCTTCCGACTTCGGATGGGATCCAGCACTTGTTGTGGGGAAAAGAACTTCAGAGATCGTGGGAGCTGGGTATTCCGAGGCAAATACACTTATACTCTCCATCAGATCTTCTCCGATTTGCAGGGAGTTGGCAATTGCAAGGATGAATCTCGATCGAGACCAGGAAATCCCGATCCATCGTGGGGTGTGGTGATGTTTGGGACCGGATGTTCCGACGTGACGTGGGCCTTGCACGCACACGTGCTGCCAAGGAGATTAGGACGAAACCCGACATTGAAAAGAATTCGTATATACGGCATTGATAACTATAGAGACACTATTCACATAACTTCATCATATTTACAAGGCTCGAGTATTTCACAGAGCAGATTTCTCCCACACGATCTCCTTCCCATTCAACCCCTCAATTGCGGGGATCTGCGCACGCAAAGCATTGCCGTAGTCACCGGCGTTCGGCGTCCGCATCAGGGTGTGGATGTGGAACTTCTTGGGCTCCTCATTGTTGAGGAACACGCCGGAGTGGTGGTCGAACTCGACCAGGATGACCGGGCTCTGCAAGCGGTAGTAGAAAGGGTCCTCGTTGCCATAGGATCCAATCCAGCAGAAGTAGGTCTCGGACTCGAACTGGCGGATGTGGTCCAGCTTCAGCTGGCGGGCGCGGGCAGGCAAATAGAGCAGGTACTGCTCGAAGATCCCGTACATGAACTTCTTCTGCTCTTCGTTGAATGTGCTGGCGGGGATACCTTCATTGGGCACGACGCGGTTGTCACGGTACGCACCGCAGACATGGCGCTGGTCGTCGCGGTTCCAGCGGCCGGGCGGCATCGCCGGGTCGTGCATCTCGGCGTAGACACGCGCCTTCTGCTGGAGCTCGGGGGACAGGGACTGCATGAGACGCAGACCCAGTTCCTCCTCCACCTGCATGATGCGAGTGCCGGCGTACGGGCCGGAGTCGATCTCGTTGGGCTCGGCGCCCGTGAACCACGGGGAGGCGACGATCTGACCCTTGTAGAGGAAGATGTTCAGGCAGAGGTGGTGGCCGTAGAAGGACCAGCCCCACGGTCGGTCGGTCGAGGGACGACCGAAGAGGACAAAGTTGTAGGAGAATTCGTTCATGACCTTGACACCGTTGACCAGCTCGCCCAGGAAATGGTTGATGCGCATTGCCGCGATGGCCTTCTCGTAGCCTTCGGGAGATAGTGTGACCTTGAGAACGTTCAAGACGGCGTCGCGGAGCTTGCTGTCGATCTCATCAAGCCGGATTCCCTTGTTGCTGAGGAGGAATTCGGGGTTGGACCAGGTCCGCCATTCGGGGGAATCGATGTGGTAGCACAGAGCTTTGCGCTGGTTTTCGTCGGCCAGAGACAGCACATTCTGAGTGGCTTCGACGATTGTATCAATTGGGATGCCTTCGTCTTGGAGCTTGAACAGGTCGGGGCGAACGGTTCCTAAGGCAGTGATTAGCAAGCGAAATGGACCATTGCTTCCATCGGAAGTTCCATCGGAAGTGAATACCGTCGGTGGTTACACCCTTGAAGGGCTCTTGCAGCAGGTCCAGCCAGTGCATGTAGAGCGCGTGCAGCCATGGAGGCTGACGTTGCGTCTTGAACTCGTGTGCATATTCATGGGCATCCTGTGTGCGCATCACCTGGAAGCGCTTTAGACTAAGATCGGGCAAGTATTGACGGTATTCGCCCGTAGGCTTCTGCAATTCGGCCTCGGAGTGAGTCATTATGGCAGTGTTATGGCGGATGTGATGCGATGATGATGGGGGAAGGAAAGAGAGACAGGAGGGGGCGAGGAGGGTCGAGAGGAGAAGGAGGAAAAGTAATAGTATTTAGCTTGGGATGCGAGGCAGAGGTGAATGAATTTATTTATCATTATCGGCTGGGGAAAGTTGTACTGTACCAGGTATGGGGTACGGATTCAGCTTTCCGCCACTTCGTTTCCTTTCCCCATACTAGCCCTCCCCACTTTTCCCACAGCACCTCCCCACCATCCACCGTGGGCTCGGGCTAAATCTTATCCGCCCACACCCCCAACACCCAGACATTCAAAAATGGCTTATTGGTAATACGCAGTTCTCTAAGATCGGACCCGACGGAACCAACAGCTAACTATGGCAATTCGGTTCTTGGGTGTTGCCTGATGGTTGTTCGCCTTCCAAGCCACCGCCTGGCAAATCTTTAATCCCCCCGTGGGGTCGAACATCCTTCGACCCCATCATTCGGCATTAAATCGGCCTAGCGGGGTTGCTTCGCAGCTTCAGCAGATCATACATGAGTACATCATTTGCTCGATTTCACATGGAACTACCAGCATTCAAAGGGTGGATCCAACCGTTGGTGTAATACAGCACTCTGGCAACGACACCAACAATCTCGTCAGTCATGGCCCGAGGTCACATCGCCCACATACACAATTCATAAGATACATTAATCTACAACAACCGCAGGAGTTCCAAGTCCTTGGCTACAGCCGGACTATGAGGTGCGCAGCTCTCCAGGAACCGCAGCATTTCTTGGTTCCATTGCTCCCAGCCCGGGGGTAAGGTATCTCGCACGCGGGCTTCTGGTGAGTGGGATATACAGTAAAAGAGGAGTATTTGGCCGAAAAATCTAGGAGATGGTCAGTCACCGCGGTATGGAAAGAAGCAGCAGATCTGATGCTTGCGAGACTCACTGAGAGCAAAAAGCGAATCGAATCGGAATGCAGCTCTTCATCCGGCGGAAGACGCCCCCAACAACAGGCCAGTTCATGGCGTTCAGCAGTCCGCTGCGGATTTGTTCGAGATCATGATCCGTTAATAAACTGGGTATATGGAGGGCTTTGTAGAGGTAGGGCCGGCCGATGTGGAATTTGGCAATCATGTAGCGACCACGAAGCATAGCTTCGGAGACGGCAATCGCGGGAGAAAGGGCATGACGGGTCGGATCGAACGGTAAGTGAGATTCGGTGGGTTCAGAATCGGCTGCGTCGTGGTCTGTAGAAGGGTTGGGTGAATTATCGGAGAACTGCAGGGCAGCAGGTAGGTTGACCCGCCACTGATCTAGCTGGTGGTGCAACTCTGTATTGATGGCTGGACGGGGGAATGTCCCTGAGTCGGCTGTAAGAGAGCTAAGTCAGTCGTGACTCGACGAGCGCAAAGAAGGAGCGATCGACTCACAGTAGAAATACAGTGAGTTTCGGATACGGGTTAGTATTATACGGTGGGCGACCTGCGCAAGGAAATGGTATTGGAAAAACGAATCGTCTATCTCGTCCAAGGACATGGATCGAGATGTACCGAAGCCAACGCTCTCGAAGCTGATAAACTTGGGAATTGGGACAAGCTCTTCAAGGCGTGCAAGACCGCTCGGTGGGACATGTAATTCTTGAATTAGGATTGTCTCATTCATGAGACAATTCCAGTATACTCTCGACTTCATGTCGCCTTCCCACTCGTCGAAGTGAACGTCACGGCTAAGGACGTTAGTCACCTAATCACCACGAGTAGGAAAACAGGATAATCACATACTTAGTGAGCATGGAAAGACAGCAGGTAGCAGCACGATGGATCATAGCCCAAGAGTCTAAGGGCCGCAGGATCTGACTGTAGTAGACACTGCAAACGCGCGTCAGAATCCGAGGATCAATCTTATAGACTTGTGGAGTGATCGTACAATGAAAGTAGATAGAATTGGCAGCTTTGCAGATCATTGCCACACATCAAGAAGCCCATGCGTTGGCGAGCCTCGTTGAAGAAGCGTAAGCCAGGAGGTTCCTCATAGACGACTCCCATCCACTCGGGCGGCTCAAACCGACTAGTCCTGCTCCCTGGTAAAGGATAATTTCCCTCTTGATAAGCGTGGATTGCAATACAGCCTAGGGCCATGATGTTCAGGGCGAGACAGCTTTCGATTGTATATCCGAAATTGCTTTCGATCGCCGTCCCCAGTGTCGAGGCGAAGTAAAAGTTCTTATCAATGATAGGCGTGTAGAGGTTAAACGTGGTGAAGAATGCGTCTGAAAGCCCCTTGATCATGGCCAATGGGAGTGTCTCCAGCCAGTTGTTTCCAGCGTGCGGAGGAAAGGGGCAAATGTACATCGGCAGCATAGGCCTTTTCATTTCAATGTCAATCACGTAGTTCTTTCCGAGCTTCTCATAGGCCTCGAGAAGTCGATTTGGGAGGATGTTTTGAGCTCCAAGCCAAGAGATCACCCCATGCTGGCTGAAAGAGATTGAAACGAGGCCAGTCGAATCCACTGGGCCCGAGGGGAGATAGCTTTGGCTATCATGTTCTAGATCGTTATTGAGTTCCACTGTTCTCGGTGTGAGGCCTTGCAGTTGAGACCTCTCTGAGCCCACCGGCTCTTTGGAGTTGAGATTACGCCGTGTTAGAGGTGAGACACCTGGCGACGTATCTAATGCATGAATCATTTCATTTCGAAGAGAATGAATGTCACCAGATATGGCAGTGGGGACACTTTCAAGTTTTGTCTCGAGTCGATGGAGAGTGCTCATAATCAGACTCAAAGAATGATCCCGCCTATGATGAGTTAGTCTGACAAGTCTATCATTAGTATGTGCTTGGTTGGTCCTTACTTGGAAGTCTTGCGCTCATTATAGACACATTCCAAGCCAAGCGACTTGCATAGTCCACATTTTGGCCGTGATTCATCACATCTGGTCTTTTTCAATCTGCAATTCTCACAAGCCTATGGCGAGATGTTATTCCAAATGATTTTACACCAGAGTTCCTGAAGGTTGTGGTAGAGCGATGCGGAAAGAGTAACCTACCACTGTGGCTATGAAATTCCGGGGTTTCTTCGCCGAGCCCGAGGCCCTGCTGTGCTCCGGGCTGTCATGAGAGAGGTGATCGGGAAGCTCTGGAGTCTGAGAGTCACTGTGGGATAATGACCCTGAGTAGGGACGTTTGTTCATGGTACTGAATCAAGAACAGCTTGGATATCACGACATCGTTGCTTGAGTGCACTAAATGGTTCTGCGATCCGGATAAGTCGATAGATAGGCGGCTTCATGTGACTCGAAAATGCTGGGTCTGAAACACGTGACAAGATGAAAGGGACGGATATGTTTGCGCTGTTTGCTGCTTGCAGCTGCGATAAGCGGGCCTACCGGCACGTGCACTCGACGGATCGTGCGTTCGCACCGGAGTTTGCGGAGCTAAGCATGGACTGTGCATTTACCCCACGGCACTTCGACCTTGGCATCCTGAGTTACTCCGCACTTTTCAAGCTGTTTACGCAAGTCGTGCCACTGGATATGATGCATTGGTCGTTCCGTGGAACTTGTGGACAACCTTTATGTATTAAAAGCGACACCTGTCTTATCGGCGAGCGGAGCCAATTCTCACATTCTGTCTGTGGCTCAATAGAGCCAGGAGCACTACAAGCGTTCCCGACAGGTTCTTGAATAACCATGTTGCAGAGATGAGATGGCCAACAAGTCGAAGCATTTGAGCATCACTTGCTCAGAACTGATGTTTCTCCAGCGAGCATGACAGCTCCTATTGGGTCCCACTTCTCTTGCAGACCAGGGATCCAGGGCTACAGACAGTGTCGTCGGCAGCGCAATGTGGAGAGCATGTTCGGGATGTGGACATAAACGGCAGAACTCATGAATAGCTTCTAATTCCATTGATATATCATGCTCAGATGCTCTGGAACTCGATACGATACTGAATAACATTGCATTTGATGTCCAAATGGCCCCCTCCAGTTACAGTGATCATTTTTCGATCAAGAACCTTCCATACGGCGTCGCCTCGTCTCCCGCGCGAGCTGACCCGCAATGCGTGACTCGGCTCAACAACACCGTGATCTTCCTAGATGACCTCCAGAGAAACGCAGTATTCAACTCGGTCACCGAGCTCCCTTCTGGAATCTTCAAATCGTCCACCTTGAATGACTTTGCTGCCCTCCCCAAGCCAATCCACACGCAAGTGCGTCACGCCCTGCAACTGGTACTACAAAATGGAGTGGAAGAACTCCCCACAGGAAGCACTGCAGACATCAGCAAGGTCCAATTGCATCTCCCTGTCACAATCCCAGCTTATACCGGTAATTAGCCTCACTCTAAAGTACCCTTCATAAACACAAGCTAACGACAACCTCCGCAGACTTCTGCAGCAGCAAGGCCCACAACATCAATGCCGGACGAGCTATCCTCGGCCACGAGAGCCTGCCGCCGTGTTTCTACCATATCCCCATTGCCTACAACGGCCGTGCCAGCACGATCTCCGTTTCTGGGACCCCCGTCCACCGGCCCCGGGGCCACTTCGTCGACAGGAACGTAACGACCCACAAAGAAGTCATCTACGCGCCAACACGCGCCTTGGACTACGAACTCGAATTGGGCATTGTGATCGGTGCCCCTCTGCAGTTGGGCCAGGGGCTTACCGCCAAGGATGCTGAGGCACACATCTTCGGGCTTGTGCTCTTGAATGACTGGAGTGGTACGTTAACTATGCAATCTATGAAGCCATTGAAGATTGATTTCCTTTCCATGGAATTTTACCTTTCATCTGGCATGAATTCCAGACAGAGAGTACTTGGCTGAACAAGCGCTACAGCACGCGACATCCAAGGCTTCGAAATGATCCCCCTCGGCCCACTGAACGGGAAGAACTTTGCCTCGACCATCTCCCCCTGGATCGTCACACTGGAGGCGCTGGAAGCGTTCCGCACCGACGGCCCAGAGCCGCAGAGCGCATCCATCCCGCCGTACCTGCAGGACTCAGGCGCCCATAATTATGACATCCAGCTGAAGGTCGAGTTGGAGACTGCTTCTGGGGCGAGGACGGTGCTGGGAGAGACCAATGCGAAGGAGCTGTACTGGAGTCTCGGGCAGATGTGCGCGCATCTGACGAGCACGGGGTGTAATCTGCATACCGGGGAGATTCTGGGCACTGGGACGGTCAGTGGGGCTGCTGAGGGGTCCTATGGCTGTCTGCTGGAGGTGACCAAGGGAGGCAAGGCGAAGGCCAAGTTGACCGACGATAGTGAGCGGACTTACCTGGTCGATGGGGATGTGGTGACGATGACGGCCTTGGCGGGCGAAGGAGTTGGATTTGGCGAGTGCACGGGGCAGATTCTTCCTGCCAAGGAAGTTCAGGCTTAGATTAGTGCTATTGTACAGAAAGCCAACTAGGTGATCCTCGTTCCAGACATTAGATCCACTACGAAGAGATGCATGCGACGCAAGCACATCATACCCTTATAACACAAGTATCTGGGGAGAACGTCCGAAGCCCCTTTCTTTCAACTCCCCAATAACCTCAATCCTCAGTCCTAGTAATCATATGGCTATCTGGGGGAGAACTCCCAGACGCCCCTTCTTTTCAGCTCCCCAGTACCCTCAACCCCAATTCCAATGACATAGCACAACGACCATCTACCTTAGGTATCCACCTTAATCCTCCCACAAAGCACCACATCCTCCCCAAAAGGATACCACTTGACCCCCGTCAACCGCGACGCCGGCACAGCCACCCCACCGTCCCCCACCCTCCTTGGCGGACTCACCACCACCCCGCCCCTCCCCAACCACGTCGGCGCAACCGTCACAATCACCGAACTGACCAGATCCTGATACCTCGGCTCCAGCAACGAATTAATCACCGCCGCGCCGCCCTCGATCATAACACTGCGCACCCCCTCCTCCCGCCGCAGATACTCCAGCACCTGCCTCCAATCGAACTCCCTCCTACCCTTTCCAACCCCCTCGCCCTCGCCCTCATCCCCCCCAAAATCCTGTGTTGTAATCCCCCAAGGAAGCGAAATAAACCGCCCCCCAACCCCCTCCAGCACCCCCCGCTGCTCCGCCTCCACCTCCGTCCCCTCCGCGATCAGCACCCACGGCGCCCGCCCCCGCCCCCGCCGCACCATCTCCACGATCTTAGCCTGCGGGGTGATCCGCCAGCGCGCCGAGGGGTCCACGATGATGGGCCGCGGCTGGCCGTCCAGCCCGTCGGCGCCGTACCCGCCCCCGCCGGCGAGCCGGCAGTTCAGGCCCGGGTCGTCGGCCACCGCCGTGCCCACTCCCACCAGGATGGCGTCGTGGCGCGAGCGCAGGTAGTGCGTCATCGCCTTGGACTGCGGGCCCGAGAGCACGGTGCGCGTGCCCGGCGACAGGGCGAGGGAGGAGTCGAGCGAGGTCGCGAAGGTGAGGGTTGTGAATGGGAGGGTCGCGGGGGCATGGTCGGTGGTGGGTGAGCTTTGCCCAGGAGGGGGAGGGGGGAGGTGTGGTTCGAGGAATGCGCGGTCGGGGGCGGGGAAGGTCAGGGCGTCGCGTGGGGGGTCGGTCATGGTGTAGTGAAATGTCTGTTTGGGTGGTGGTGTTGGGGTGTGGAAGATTGGGATGTTGAGAGGTGTGGGGTTGGTGTGTTGGATGTTTAAGTTGTGGATGATATCTTTGAGGTGTGAGGGAGTGTTGATGCTGGATGGGTTTGCGGGGAAAGGGAGCGATAAAAAATGTGTGGAGCCTTAGGCCAGCAACGAGGTAGTCTACTGTACCAACTGTTGGTGCTGTCGTTACCCCACTATGGGCGGGAGATAATCAGTGATTTTACCCCTCACCGGTAGCTGTTCGAGGGGGCGCTTTCTTGGCGAACACCTCGATGTTTGTCAGAGCTTGCATCTGCTCAGAGAATCTGGTCTAGCTATTGATATGTAGGCAGACTATCTCGGGGGTTCAAAGTCTAAAAGTCGGAGGTTTGATTATTGCATCTAAAATCATGAGAGGAGTATCTAGGCTAATAATGCTATCTAAGAAATGAAAACAAATGCGATCGTGATCCGTGAAGATGCAAAGAATCTAGTTGACAACCACAATATGCACAAGCACTTGCTTAGGCGGGAATACCACCGGTTCCGAACAGCTCCATCTTGATGCGATCGTCAGCGACGCCCGCGGCGGTCAGCTTCTGCTTCACGTCCAGCATGAACGCAGTCGGACCGCAGATGTAGTACTTGGTGGTCGCATCCTCCAGGTAGAGGTCCTTCTGCTTGTCCAGCTGGTTCACGTCCAGGCGTCCCGCGACATCGTAGTCCTCGCCCTGCTTCTCCTCGGCGCCGGGGTGGCTGGTGAAGAAGATAGCGTGCAGGTTGGGCACCTTGGCAGCCAGCTCCTTGATCTGCGGGCGGAAGGCGCGGGCCGCAGAGGTGCGAGCGCCGTGCGCGTAGGTGATCTTGCGCTGGGTCTGGGCCTCGGGGCCATCGAGGATGGTGTTGAGGATGGAGGTGAGCGGGGTCAGACCGACACCGGCGGCGAGGAGGACAATCGGGCTGCTGCTCTGCTTCTCCTCGTCGGAGAGGAAGAAGTCACCGTAGGGGTGAGAGACGCGGACGATATCGCCTTCCTTCTTGAGATCGTGCAGGATGTTGGAGACATAGCCGGGGTGGCGCTTGGCCGAGGGCTCGGTGGGCTCGAGGCCGGCCTCCCTCTTGACGCTGATGCGGTAGTATTCTGGCACAGGCTTGTCGCTGAGCGAGTACTGGCGGCTCTGGGGGTAGTTGAGCTCCGAAACAAAGACCTCCACGGAGATGTATTGTCCGGGGCGGAAGGACGGCAGAGGCTTGCCATCCACGGGCTCCAGGTAGAACGAAGTGATCTCAGACGACTCGGGCACCTTCTTGGCAATGCGGAAATCGCGGAAATCAGTCCAGCCGTCCGCCTCCTTGTAGAGGTCGGCTTCGCGGTTGATCATGATGTCGGCCAACTGCCAGTAGGCGGCACCCCAGGCGTCGTGGATCTCGGGCGTCAGGGCGTCTAGAAGGACTTCGCCCATGGCCTCGAGGAGGTACTTGCCGACAATCTTGTAGTGCTCGGGCCGGATATAGAGGGAGGCGTGCTTGTGGCAGATCAATTCGACTGCGGGGCTCAAGGCACCCAGGTTGTCGATGTTGGAGGCATAGGCGAAGAGGGCGCCAGCGAGAGCGACGGGCTGGTGGC